TTTCACTTCGTCTTCTTCGAGGGTTTCCAGAGACGAGAACATCTCGTTCGTTCTCTCTGCCTCGTCTTCTCGATCCTTCTTTCTCCGATCGATTGATCCAGTTTTGCGTTTCGCTTTCTCTGCTCCGCTTCGTTATTCCGATCTGGCTTTCTCCGATCGTTGATTCCATCAGTTCGCCGTTCCGATCAAGATCCAGATCTCGTTCTATGGCGACTTTTGCGATGATTTCCGCTACCTCTGGGCCTCCTCCCACCGCTGGCTCGTCTTCCGCTACTGCCACTGCCACCGCTGACTCAAGCAGCGCGACTCCGACCGCCGCTACGAATCTCTCGCCGGCGCATCCTTTCTACATCGCCAATGGCGATATTCCTTCCCTGCAGCTCGTCACTGTGCTTTTGACTGGAGCGAACTACCACTCCTGGGCGCGTTCCATGCGTATGAGTCTCCACGCCAGGAACAAGCTTCGATTGATTGATCCCCGAGCGTCGATTCCGTTACCAGATGATCCGTTGTGGACGGCCTGGGATCAGGCAAACATGCTGGTGCTTGGATGGCTGCAGCGATCAGTTTCTCAAGAAATTGCCCACAGTGTGCTCTGGTTTGACACCGCTGTAGAGGCTTGGAAAGATTTGCGGGAGAGGTTCAGTGAAGGTAACGAGGTTCGTATCTCTGACCTCTATGATGAGATAGCAGCACTCAAGCAAGGTTCTCAGACTGTTACTGCTTATTTTACTCGTTTTCGCGTTCTTTGGGAAGAACTGTTAATCTTGAGGCCTCTTCCTTCATGCTCCTACAATCCACGCTGTGCTTGTTCTGCGGCTTCCATCCCTAGAGAATATATGCGTCGAGATCAGTTGATTCGCTTTCTCAAGGGATTGAATGAGAATTTCTCGGGTGTGAGATCTCAGTTCCTGTTGATGGATCCTCTTCCCTCCATCAATAGAGTCTTCTCTGGACTGGTTCAACAGGAACGACAGAATACTCCTTCTCTGCCCCCAGTTGCTCTTGCTACTCAAGGATCTACTCATGCTCAGGGTACGGCTGCTCCAAATCAAGCTAATGCAGCTCAGAGCCATGGTGGAGGTCGCAAACGACCATTGTGCACACATTGTGGCATCTATGGCCATACTATTGACCGGTGCTACAAGGTCCATGGGTATCCCCCTGGTTACAAGAGCCGACGTTCAGCTCATGCTGTCACCACTGAGTCTGCTTCTCCTGTTGGTGCTGGTGATATCCCTGTTGGTGCTGGTGATGAATCTGTGACCATTTCAAGGGCACAATATCAGTCTTTGCTCAACCAGACTCAGCCACGGATTCAGCAGGCTTCCACACCAATTGCAAATCTGGTCACTACTACTCAGACTGCTCCTATGTTCTCTTCAGATGCTTCTGGTTCGGGATCTCTTCCTGTTCATCAGACTACTCCAGTCATTGCCTCGGAAGATACAGGTTTCATTCTATCCTCTTCCTTTACTCCCTTAACTTCGATGATGTGGATAGTTGACAGTGGTGCTACTGATCATGTAGTATCAGTATCACATTTGTTTGATTCTTTTAAAGCGATTGATCACATGAATGTTGCACTTCCAAATGGGATTAAGGTTAAAGTCACACATATGGGAAATATCAAAATTACACCAACTTTAACTCTTTATGATGTGCTCTACATACCTGCCTTTACATTCAATTTGATTTCTGTTTCTAAATTAGTTCAGCAATCAAATTGTGCTGTTTCTTTTGCTGCTGATTCCTGTTTTATACAGGATCTTTCGTCCCAAAAGCAGATTGGTACTGCTAAACTCCAATCAGGACTTTATCATCTTCATATTCCTTCAACAGCATTTCCAAAATCATCTCCTCCATCTTGTAATGCCTGTTTCAATTCATCCCTTACTCCTTTTGATATCTGGCATTACAGACTTGGGCATACTGCTCTTCCTATATCAGAATTATTAGATACTACTGTGAAATCTTCTATTAGCTCTAATAAAAATCCTTGTATGGTTTGCCCATTGGCCAAACAGAAACGACTACCATTTCCTATTAGTCATTCTCATTCTTCTACATTGTTTGAACTATTGCATCTTGACAACTGGGGTCCTTTTCAAACCCCTACTATTGACGGTTACAAGTATTTTCTTACTTGTGTCGATGATCATTCTAGACATACATGGATTTATCTACTTAAAACCAAAAGTGAAGTAAGAAATATTCTTTTAAATCTGCCAGCCTTTGTTAGTACTCAATTTTCATCCAAAATTAAGATAATACGAACTGATAATGGCCAAGAGTTTAATATTCCATCTTTTTATGAAACATTTGGTATAATTCACCAAACTACTTGCGTTGCAACTTCACAACAGAATGGTAGAGTCGAACGTAAACATCAACATATCTTAGCCGTTGCACGGTCTCTTATGTTTCAAGCTTCACTTCCTATCTCTTTTTGGGGTTTTGCTGTACTGCACTCTGTTTTTCTCATTAACAGATTACCTACTCCAACCTTACAGAATAGATCTCCCTTTGAAATTCTGAACAATTCAAAACCTTCTTACTTAGACATTAAGGTTTTTGGATGCCTTGTATTTGCTTCTACTCTTCAGCAGAACAGATCTAAATTTGCACCAAGGGCTGATCCCTCTGTTTTCCTAGGATATCATCCTTCTGTCAAAGGGTCTAGGTTATACAATCTGATTACACATCAGATTTTCTACTCACGTGACACAGTTTTTCATGAACACGTGTTTCCATTTTTTAAAATGAATGATAAACTGGACTTTGATGTTTGTTTTCCTAACATCCAAGTTCCAGATTCTGTTTGTATTCCAGTCCCACAACCTAACTCTACTGATCATGCTTCTTCTGTACCTCCTGAAGAGCCTGAAAATGACATTGTAGATATTATCCAAGCGGTTGAACCGCCTCCTAATATTCGTCCCTCTAGACTCAAGGTACGACCTCAAAAACTTAAGGATTTTGTGTGTGATTTCCCTACTGCTTCTTCTTCTGTTTCTTTTCCAATCTCAAAAGTGATGTGTTTTGATAATCTAAGTGCTGAATATCAAAAGTACATACTTGCCACATCTGAAATTGTTGAACCACGTACTTATAAAGAAGCTATAAAAGATCCTCGTTGGGTTGAGGCTTGTAATACTGAATTGGCAGCACTAGACAGAACCAAAACTTGGACTGTCGTTGAACTTCCTGCTGGAAAAATTCCTATTGGTAACATGTGGGTGTTCAAAATAAAGTATCTTGCTTCGGGTGTCATCGAACGTTTTAGATCTCGCCTAGTGGCTAAGGGTTATACTCAAACCCCAGGTTTAGATTACTTAGACACCTTTGCTCCGGTAGTGAAACATACTACAGTGCGTGTAGTTCTTTCATTAGCTGCTATTAATGGTTGGTTCTTGCATCAATTAGATGTTAATACAGCTTTTCTTCATGGTGATTTAGATGAAGAAGTGTACATGAAAATTCCACCAGGTTTGGTTGTTCCTTCTCACTTTAAAAATCTCGTTTGTCGTCTTAATAAATCGCTTTATGGTTTAAAACAAGCTAGTCGTCAATGGAATATCAAATTAACATCATTTCTTACTTCTGCTGGTTACAAACAGTCCAAAGCAGATTATTCTATGTTTGTTAGAAGTGTAGATTCTTCGTTCACTGTTGCATTAGTGTATGTCGATGACATTATTTTAGCTGGAAATGACTTGAATGCTATTTCTGACATTAAACTCAAACTTGATCAGACTTTCACTATTAAGGACTTAGGTGAATTAAAGTACTTTCTTGGTCTTGAGATTGCTAGATCTTCTAAAGGAATTATGTTGTGTCAACGCAAATTTGCCTTGGATCTCTTAACAGACACTGGATTTTTGAGTGCAGAACCGGCTGATTCACCTACTGTTCCGGGTCCTAAGTTGTCTGCCAAATCGGGTAATCTCCTTCCTGATCCTTCCTCTTACAAGAGATTAATTGGTCGACTTTTATACCTGTGTAATACACGACCAGACCTTGCATATGCAGTACACCAGTTGAGTCAGTTTACACATTCTCCTACTGATGTGCATATGCAAGCAGCAGAACGCGTTCTTCGTTACTTAAAGGGTACTGTTGGTCAAGGATTACTATTTTCTAGTGATTCTAAAGTGCTTTTACAGGCCTTTTGTGACAGTGACTGGGCTGGTTGCCCAGACACTCGTAGATCAACTACTGGTTTCTGCGTTTTGCTTGGTAATTCTCTTATTAGTTGGCGTTCGAAAAAGCAAAAGACTGTCTCTCGTTCTTCTGCAGAAGCCGAGTACAGATCTATGGCTAGTTTAACTTGTGAATTGATATGGTTGAGATACATTCTTCATGATTTACATGTTGATTTAGCTGCTGCCACTCCTGTCTTCTGTGACAGCATGTCTGCTATTAAATTGGCTGACAATCCTATTAATCATGAACGTACTAAGCATATAGAGATTGATTGCCATGTTATTAGAGATCAAATTCTGAATGGTGTTATCAAGGTTCTACATGTATCTTCAGCCAATCAATTGGCAGATATGTTCACCAAATCCCTTCCAGTTGCTGTGTTTCAGTTTTTGCAGAACAAGCTGGGACGTTTGGACATATACGCGCCAGCTTGCGGGGGGGAGTTGTCCGAGGAAGATGAATCCGAGGACTGATTTGTAATGAATGTATAGTTATAGGATTGATTTGTAATATTTGTTTATTGTTTGTTTTCATAGAACTGAGTAGGTCTATATATATGTAAATGTAACAAGGATATTGTAAGTTTTCCATTTGATGAAATAAAAGCAAGCCAGGTGGCGTTTTCTGTTTTACAAGCAAACATCTTCATCGCCATGGCTATTCAAATAATGGCTTCTACAAGCTAGCTATAAATAAGCTGCTGCTCGATCTGTATATAGTGCCAGATTATGAAGACGACTTCGATCGATAGCTTTCATAGCTTCCTCTTGTCTCTCATGGTTTCTTCATTATTTGCCTGCCGCCATTGCTTTGGATGCCTCAAGGTAGTTAACATCGACACCTGCTTTTATGCATTGGAGGAGACGATGGATTTTGTTTTTGGTTCAATGGATCCATTCATGCGCCTTTTTAATTTATTTATTCCTCTTGCTGCAGAATCAGGATCGACTAGGTTTCTCTTTTAGATGTAGGGGCTGTTCGGTTGAACTTGTGGAAGACTGGTCTTTCTCGGATGCAGGCTTCCGATTCGCGGTGCGGTCAATTGGTATGACACATTTTATTTTTCTTGATGAAGCTTTGATTGATTGGCTGCAAGGAGTGTTGCAGGTGGCATTGATGCAGGGTTGGAAGTTTTCTGGGAAAGATGTGAGACGCAGCGGGTCTCGAGTGATTCATGTTGGGGGTGTTCTTAAGAAGGGAGAGCGTTATCTTGGTGTATCAGAATCTTGCAGGACAGGACAAATTTTCTTTGTGTTGGTGCCTATGGATGATTTCACAATGGGCTGGTCGTCACTTCTTAAATCCATTCAGAGTTTGTCGAAAGGCATTCTTGAGAGACGGCGTCTCTCCACCGCATCGATTTCGTCTCAACGAATTGGTATTTCGAGAAAAGTAAACATGACGAGGGAGCGTTCTCAGCCTTCTTTTGCTGATCTCTTCAAGGCGGTGGAGTGGCCAACTGGGGGAAATTGCTCCGCGCAGACGCGTAAAGGTTCTAAGGTCGTGGTGGTCTCGAACAAAGGGGTGAAGGATCGAGAGGATTTTCTCCGGTCATCTTTAATTTTGAGGTTGGTCGGGCGAGGTACTCCAATCTGGGAGGATTTTAGAAATTGGGTTCATAAACACTGGGGTATTTCATATACAAAGCTCCAACCCCTTAGTGATGGTCTCTGGTTAATGCCCTGTTCGTCGCCGGCGGAAGTGGACCGGGTTATGGCTCTTAATCGTTGGCATTATAAAGATTTTCATATTTTGGCTGACTCTTGGATCGAAAATGCAGGGAGATCGAGTGTGATGCGTTCTCTTGGGGAAGTTTGGGTTCGGATTGATGGAATCCCCCTTCATTTACGATCCGATGAGCTTTTGGAACAACTTGGTAAGTTTTGTGGGGAGGTCAGTAGGGATGGCAATGGGGCGGGTTTGGGGCGGGTTTGCCTAAACCATCCCCATCCCCATCTTCAAATACCCAAACCCATACCCGCCCCATACCCATGCGGGGGAATGTTTTGCAAACCCATCCCCATACCCGTGGGTTTCGGGTACCCATGGGTAATACCCATCCCCGTACATCCAACATTATTATACCTAAAACTTACAAGAAAAGTTTTAATTATAACCATAAACAAACCTATTATATCACGAAGTCAACAAAACACGGTCATTTTCTAAATACGATTCAAAGAATATGATCCTAAAACATCCATTAATACATAATATAGACTATAATATTTTTTAAATTATTATGCTCTAACTCTTGATACATTTACTAAGTAATAATTAACTAACATAATTTTGTTGACACGGGGGAAAGTGAAAGAGTGGAAGGAGAATTGAGGGAAATGAATTAGGTTTTGATTAAGGTGGTTACTCAATTGCATTTCTACTATTTATTTTCTCGAGTTATCATCATCATCATTGATAGATTACAATTTAATCCACGTATTTTTTGATATGTGAAGAAATTCTCTTGGTGGGGCGGGTATGGGTATGGGTATGGGGCGGGGGAGGCTAAAACCATACCCGCCCCATACCCATCAAACCTTTTGCGGGTTTTACCCATACCCGCCCCATACCCGGTCAAAGCGGGGATTCCCCGCGTTGACTGGGTATGGGGCGGTCGGGTACCCGCGGCCATGGGTTTGATTGCCATCCCTAGAGGTCAGAGAAGTTCAAGATCAAGGGGTTTCCCGTAATGAGATTAGAATCCGAATCATTCCCAACGAGGTGATCCCAGACGAAATTCCTCTTTGCTTTGGAACTTTAGTTTTTCCCTTGAGAGTTACTGTGGAACCAATGGGTCCTCAACCTTCCATCGATTCCGGCGAACGCTTTCTTCATGGCTGGAAGGGAAAGGGGCGTGGTGTATACGTGCGGAGGAATAGAGTGGATGGCATGGAAATGGCTTCGATCGGATGGCCCACGTACTGAGACATTAAGACCGATGGGTCAGATGGTTGCGTGTGAAGGGGTAGATGCAATGTTTCGTCAGGATAATGGCAGAAAAGCTTTAGTTGATGGTGATGGGTTTATACGGCTGGAATGCTATTTGACGCCCTAAATATTTGAATTCTATCGCCCTAGACTACCTAAATAGATACTTTTACCTTCAACTAAACCTAAACCCATTACCCAAGTCCAACCCACCAGCCCATCCCCTTCCCCTCCCCTGTATCGGCTCCCATCTCCAACGAGGCCTCCCCTGTTTCCCTTACCCCGCCACCAGCCACCCTCTCCGCCATGGCGCCACCAGCAACGAGGCTTCCCTTCCCGCCAGCCACCTGTCCGCCCTTCCCTTCCCCTCCCATCCCGCGACAACTTCACAACGCCGTCAGCCACGAGACTCTCCCCGTCGGAGGAGGAAGAAGAAGCCCACCGCCAACCACGAGACTCACCGTCGGTAGCATCCCAGAAGAAGCCGCCTGAAGTCGCGCCGTCATCGTCATTCCTCCTAGCCAGATCTGTGGTGAAAGTCGCTCCTTTGCTTCTTCTTTTTTTATGCCGGCAACGAGGCGGGCTCAAAACCCGTCGCCGGCAGGCTGGAGACGTGGTGTCGACCTGTCTCAGCCGGGCCGGCGACGGGTTTTCAACCCGCCTCGTTGCTGGTCGGGCGTGTAGGGTTTACGCGGAGGTCGGAGGAGAAGCGGGTAGGTTACCCACCTGGAGCCAGGGCGAGGCAGGTAGGGTATCCGCCCCGCCACGGGTCAGCCGGGTTTCCAACCCGTCCCGACCTGGTCCAGACATATATCCGATCTGTCCCGCTCTGGTTCGGGTAGAAATATGACCGCCCTGCTCTGGTTCGCTCATTGATCAGACCGGTCTTTTAAAAAAGTTATGTGAATATACATGTAATTTACAAATTAGAATTTGTGATCTATGGTTTAGTGTTTGTGATTCAGATATTCAAAATAAAAAAATTGTGTGATTTATTTGTATGTAAAAGAATTTGTGATTAGAACTACGATTACATGAGTTATTATTGATTAGTATGTGAATTATTAATATGTTTAATTACCATAAATAGTTTGTTGTACTTATTAGTTGTTATATTTAAAAATGTTTTCATTAATTTATGATTGAATCATAAATAAAATTAATGATAATTGTAAATCCATGCAGTCGGTCTCGTATGGGTATGAAAATAACTATTCCAAATTTAAAATGCTTACAAAATAATCACATTCCAATTCAACAATAATTTATGGAATCATAGTTCTAATTAATGCAGTCAAAATCACGCTTTAAAACTTAAAAACTTACGATTTTACATTTTTAGGTCACCAAAACGCTTTCGTTTCCATATAAAAACTTAAGTTTATAAAATCGGACTAAATTGCGCTTTAAAGCTTAAAAGCTTACGGTTTTACACTTCTAGTTCACCAAAACGCTTTACGTTTTTACGCTTTAGTTCACTAAATGAGTATTCTTTTCATGAAATGAATTATAAAAAGTATATTTTAAAAGTAAATCACCAACAATATGATACATTTGTGATTAAAATATACACATCAGGTACTTGGATGCATTCTCAACTTCAATAGAGTAATCTAATTCACCAATTTGGCTTTTCCCAAATTCATTAGCATAGAAGGAAAAGTGGCTTATTGTTAAAATTTGTGTTTACGAACTTATTATTAAGATGCTATAAGTTGTTCTACTTTAGGCATGAATCGCATGTATTTATTAACTTATCTAAATTCCGTGCATTCATATTTTTCATAGCATATGTCCAACTTAATAAATTTTTAGTTATTTTTCAGTATGCGTCAAAAACTTACGCTTTTACGCTTTGATTCTATGCTTTACGATTTTACCCCTTTTCCGCTTCTAGGTAAAATCGCGCTTTTGACTGCATTGGTTCTAATCAAAGCTTTGACATTATTAGTGGGTGTGCATGCATGTGAGGTATCATTCATGTACTAATTACTAACCTTTATGTTAATTTGACCAATCCTATTACAATGTCATCTTAGAGGCCAAATCAGTTGAACCCCCCTAACAATAATCGTTCACAACATCGAACGACTCATGTTAATCTGAAGAAATTCCCTGTTTTAACACCCAAGGCACTCGAAACCTTGATTAAAGCTTTGACACTATTCATGCTTTCTTCGCTCATTGACTTCAAATCGAGAAACAACCGAATCCAATGCGTTAGAGATATTTCAAGGGACCAGTGAAAATTTTGGCCATTTCCCATGTTGCTAGCTCGAGAAATCACGAAAATACAGTTTTAACGATATTTTATAATAACGACAAATTTTATGATTAGTGATTATGCTTAAGCATGTTCACGAATAATAGACATGATAACAACAAAAAACCTCAAAACGTGGTTCGGGCACTTTTCATAATTTTATATATATTGCAACTATATACTCGTTATTATAGTTTTCACGTACTAATTAGATAAAAACATTTACGTAATCATAACTTGATAAATACTAAAGCAACCTTTTTCTCTCTTGAATGTACTTGTCCTAAACCCTTCTCCCCCAAACCATATATACCGTGGATTTTCTCCTCTAGTATTAATTTTGGCAATCTCCTTTGTCGTTGTAGAAGGTTCACATGAGTATCATAAACAACATCACTTATAAACAATGACGTGTAATTGACTTTATCACCCTCATCCAAATCCTCCCTACAAAAATATACAATGTAAAAACATTTAGTCATATGCAACAATTATGTAACGATAATTAAATTACAAAAAAAAACAAATAAATTGAGTACTTACCGAAATACCCATAATAATTTCCTTGTTGGTTAATGATGGTGGTGCAAGATTTTTATCCTCCTTCCTAATAAACACAATACACAACGAGTGTAACATAATTAGTATAATTTATGTGAATTTTCATTAAAAAATGTCCATAACATCAGAAAATTTGTTCGAGCATGTTCAAAATAGGACTCGACCAACGGACGGACATGTCGAAAACATGACAGAACCTTAGGCCGAGCATGTTGAAAACGTGTCCCGACCGCAGGCCAAACATGTTGAAAACTCGCTTCGCCACGGTTCTAAACATGCTGCGCGGATGCCTGACAGGTGGGAGGGGTGGGTTGGCAGCACGTCCGCTCCATGGCCGAGACAGATTTTCAACATGTTTGGACAGCGGTCGGGGTAGGTTTTCAACATGCTCATCCTATTTTTCCAGAAAAAAATGAAAACAAAATCAAACCTTCAATCCGAGCGCCTGCATGCTATGGCGACCGGAAAATAATGATGCCTCTACCTCCGACGAACTCGCCGGAATCCGACGAAAATTTATCAATGTAGAAGATTGTGATTGATTTTTGTGGTGTTAGTGTTTTCAGTTTTGTTTTAGTTTTTGGGCTGATATTTTTGTTCTTTTTTTTTAAAGAAAGAGTTCAAATGGGTTGGCCTCTTAACTCTAGGATGGTTGAACCATAAAATAAAATGAAGGACATTTATGTAATTACCTATGGTTTAGGGCGATAGAATTTAAATATTTAGGGCGTCGAATAGGAACACTCTTTATACGGTCCCCAAGAGATGTCCCTCTGGCTTCTAGTGCTATTTCAAGGAGTGGTGATATTGTGGGAGGTGAGAATTTGTGTGGTCAAGATAATATGATGGTTGTTGAAAAGGGTGAAGGTAGCAAAGATGTGGATACGTTGGTGGGTTTGGAGTTGGTAGAAGAGGTGGTGGGGCAAAGGGTTGAAAGGGTTGGACAGGCCCACGGTTTTGCAAGAAAGGAAGAAGGTTTGGGAGTTGAGTTAGTTGGCCCAATCGTGGCCCTCTTCCCACATAAATTGATATCCATAAACCATGTATTGTTTCAGCTTTGGTGGGCTCTTTGTGCATGGCCCACTTTCATTTCTCCATGCCCATGTGATAGTTGGGATTTTAATGGCCCATTTCAGGTACCAGCCTTATGTTTTCAGCATCTGGACGTGGCTTATTTGATTAGAGACTCTACAGATGAAGATAGAAGAATGGAAGCCACAAGTTCACATGGATCAGAAGAGCTTGCAATGTTTCGGCTTAGTTGGTTTTTGTCCCAATTTGTTGATTTAAGGTTGGAAGAATCAAGCGAGTCCCCAGACATCGCAAGGGAAGAAACTCTTCATGAGGTGTTACTTAGAAGAAAAAAGACTACTTCTCGATCCCCTCAAGAAAGAGCTCTTCGCCAACTAGGAATCGAGGGGACTGATGTCACTGCCCTTGTGTCAGCAGGTCGTCCACGCAGGAATGGGTATGCTCCTCTTCGTCTTACTTATGATCCTTAAGTTGGTGTCTTGGAATGTTAGAGGTTTAAGGGATCCGGGGAAGCAATATTCCATTAGAGATTTTCTTGGTCCTATTCGACCTTCGATTTTTTGCTTCCAAGAAACAAAACTTGAAAGTTGCACGGATTCTATTGTTGGGGTACTTGGTGGTCGGTATGGAATGGGTTGGGTGGACAAACCATCGAGAGGTCTCTCAGGTGGTCTTTTGGTGGCTTGGGATAAGTTGGTGTTTAATATGGAATGTCATTGGGTGGGCAGGTTTTGTTTAGTGACAGTATTTACATGTCGAGATAATGGTTTTAAGTGGGTTTTGATTAATGTTTATGGACCGAATGACAGTAGTGAACGCCCGATTTTCTTTGATGAATTGACGTCATGCCTGTCTTGGTGGTCTTTTCCTGCTTGTGTGGTGGGAGACTTTAATGTGGTTCGGTCTCAAGATGATTTTGTTGGAGGGCCAAGAAATCCGGCAGATATGGAAATGTTTAATGACTTCATTGGAGAGCACGCCCTTTTGGATCTCCCCATGCTCGGATATCAGTTCACTTGGTCAAATCAACAATCAAACCCTTCATTATCTCGCTTGGATAGGGTGTTGGTCTCTTCTGATTGGGAGAGTGAGTTCCCTCAATGTTGTTTGAAATCGTTTGTTAGAGTGGGTTCAGATCATTGTGCTCTTCTGTTGTCTTGCGGAGAAGAGCGAGTTATTCATCGACCATGGAGGTTTGAGTTTATGTGGGCTGACCATGATGATTTTGAGGTTCAGTTAGGTAATTGGTGGGTTGGCGAGATTGAGGGATTTGGGGTTTTCTTTAAGTGTGCCAAGAAACTAAAGCACTTGAAAGCACACATTAAAAAGTGGAATGTAGAGGTCTTCAAACACGTGGATCAGGAAATCAGTCTCATCCTTCAAAATATTGCAGAATTTGATTTGTTAGAAGAAGCCGGCGTTTGGTCAGAGGAAGATAGAGCACATCGTGGTATATTGAAATGTCATTTGGCTCGGTTATGGAAGAGAAAAGAAATTTCTTGGCGTCAGAAATCTGGTGAGACTTGGCTCAAGTGTGGGGATCAGAATACTTCCTTCTTTCACAAGGTTGCTAACTTTAATCGGAGAAGAAATTTTGTGGATAATATTTGGGTGGATGAGGTTCTTTGTTCGGGTCAAGCTCAAGTGGCAGGTGCTGTTGTGTCCTATTATGAGTCTATATTTCAAGAGGCTCGTCCTAGGAGACCTTTTCCCTTTGGTATTGAGTTTCCATCTCTTCCCCGGCATGCAATAAACTCCTTGTTGAAGACTTTCAATGAAGAGGAAGTGTGGAGGGTGATTAAGAAAAGTAAAGGGGAACATGCACCCGGGCCTGATGGTTTCCCAATGGGGTTTTTTAAGAAATTTTGGCGGATCGTGAAATCAGATGTGGTAAATGCTTTGAAAGAGTTCTATGTGACTGGGAGTATGCCGAAGAGTGTTCACCACGCATTCTTATGTCTTATACCCAAGAAGGAAGCTATCGGTGATATTCGAGATCTTAGACCTATTAGCTTGGTATCCAGTCTCTACAAGATTCTTTCAAAGGTGCTTATGGAAAGATTAAAGGTTTTCATGGGAGGCTTGGTGGCGGTTGAGATATGTGCCTTTGTGGGTGGTCGACAAATTTTGGATGCGATTCTTATTGCAAATGAGCTTATTGACTCTAGGAAGCGAGCTGGAAGACCAGGCTTAGTTTTCAAGTTGGATATCGAGAAGGCATACGATCACGTTAATTGGGAGTGCCTCTTTTCTGTCATGAAGAGGATGAGTTTCCCTGCTCTATGGATATCATGGATTCGAGGGTGTATCACTGCAATCACTTTCTCTGTTCTTGTGAATGGGGAAGCTTCTGGTTATTTTTCAAGCAAAAGAGGACTAAGGCAAGGAGATTCTCTTTCTCCCTTTCTTTTCATCCTGGTGATGGAGGTTCTATCTGGCATTTTGAGGACTTTACAGTCTCACGGTATGGTTGAGGGTTTCTTTATGAATGAAGGACTGAGAACAGGGGAAGTCACTCATATTCTTTATGCCGATGATACATTGTTATTTTGTGATGCATCAGAAGATCAGGTTCGTTCTCTCCTCACGGCCTTAGCTCTATTTGAAACAATTTCGGGTCTACGAGTGAATTTGCACAAGAGTTCTATGATGGTGGTCGGGGACGTAGAGAACCCATCACATTTTGCCAACATTTTTGGTTGCGAGTTAGGTTCTCTTCCGACTACCTACTTAGGATTGCCTTTGGGTTCCAAAGCAGCTTCTTTGTCAGTTTGGGAACCTATGATTAACAAAGTGCAAGCTCGATTAGCTTCTTGGAAGGCTAGGATGCTTTCCTTTGGCGGGAGGTTGGTGCTTTTGAAAAGTGTGCTTTCTAATCTCCCTATCTACTTTCTTTCCCTTTTTAGAGCTCCAACCTCGGTGATTGCTCGACTTGAGAAGATTTATAATGACTTTTTATGGTCAGGGGTGTTTGAGACTAAACGCTTGCATTTGGTCAAATGGGATATTGTGAAGACTCCAATCACTAGAGGCGGTTTGGGAGTCTTGGATCTCAGGAGTATGAACAGAGCCTTGTTGGGGAAATGGGCTTGGAGATTTGGAGTTGAGAGAAATTCGTGGTGGAGGAGGTTGATTGTTGCAAAGTGTGGTAAGGGTAGGTCCGAGTGGAGACCATGTTGGAATTTGGGTACATATGGTTGTTCTTTGTGGCGGGCAATTGTTAACGAAAGCTCTTAATTTTGGAAGGTTGCCTATGTCGATCCTGGTGGGGGTTATGGGGTATCTTTTTGGTATGATTCTTGGGTTCCTGGGAAACTTTTGGTGAGTGATTTTCCAAGGGTTGGGTCAGTTGCCCAATCCTTGGATGCTTTTGTTTCTGACGTGTTTTCTATGGTTGATAGGTCTTGGGAGATTCCTCTCTCTGTCTCTCTTAGGCGAGGCGCTGAAGCAGAACGTGTCCTATTGATGCAAACTTTGAGTGATCTTCCGCAACTATGGATCACCACAGGACCTGCACGCTTGGTGTGGCCTTTGGAGTCCTCTGAGGTCTTTTCCGTGCATTCGTTCGCTGCAAACCTTATTGAGAATAACTTTGGGGGTGACGTTGCTTTTCCTTTCAAGTTAGTTTGGATTCCTGTCGTGCCCTCAAAGATATGTTGCTTCATGTGGATGGTCTATCATGGAAATATTTCTACTTTGGACAACTTGAAAAGAAGAGGGATGATTCTTCCGAATTGGTGCATTCTTTGCAAATGCCATGAGGAGTCGATCTCACATATCTTCTACTTATGCCCATTTGCGGTTTCGATTTGGGAAAGCTTCAAAAAGGGATTTGATCTTCATGGCCCTTACCCTCCTTCCACTCGTGATTTTCTCATTGCTTGGCGAGGCTTGTGGTGTGATCAACGGTTTAGTGAATGCATTAAGTTGTTGCCCCATGCAGTACTTTGGTTCATCTGGTTGGAGAGAAACAATAGAATTTTTAGAGATGTTGATTCCTCCCCACAAGAGATTGGGAACAAGATTGTTCGTATGATCGGACGGTGGCTAAGAGTTCGTAGTCGGATCTCAGATGGACTATTTCACGAGTGGGTGACGACCGGGACAAAGCACCTTATTTGATCTTCGTTCTCTTTATGTTTTGTTTCGTTTTGCTGTTTTGCTTTTTCTCTCTCTCTCTCTCTCTGTTCTAGTCTTGTCGTTGTACCTAAATTTTAGAATGCTTTTTTTATTTTTATTTTTATTGTCGCTAGCTTGCTCTACTATTGGTTGAGCTGCTAGCAATTTTTTTCTAATAAAATTTTTTCATCATTCATAAAAAAAAAAAAGATAACATCTACGTTTGATATAAATTGAAACGAAAGTAAGAAACATCTTAAAAAAATTATATGACTCAACACATCTCCGTAAATACCAAAAATATATCATCTTGATAGATAGACGATGCCATCACCAATATATATAGACTAGACTACGCCTGACGTTGGTCGGAGTATCATGACCAGACTTCGGACGGATGATTCTCAATGTGCTTGAAGCTAGGCAAAATGCATGCCTACATCAAAACATTCAATAATACTATGAATGCATATTAATGTTGTAATAATGGGCATGAATATATAGATCGACAAAGCTAGAAATTAAATGATCAAGAAGCTAGAAGTGAACGTACATGAAAGGAGGGCGACCCATAATTTATTAGTGGAAGCAAGATTAGCCCACGTGGGCTCTGCTCATTCGGGTTTGCCTTGAACATTATTAGCAAATACATAACTGGGCCTGATTCCCTTGGGCCTTTTCCAGATACCCCAACAAATAGGGATATCCAATAATATTATGAAGATGAAACGATTGATATGTCATTTTATTTAGGAAGAATCCATGATATGACTCACACTCACCTATTGGTATCGTTGTGGATTGATTGGGTGGGTGACAACGGATAGTGGGTGGGTTTGGCGATTTTGACGGGTCAAATTATTTCCAAATAATTAGATAAGTATGAGCCATAAAAGTTTGTATATAACTAACTGAATATCAATAATACAAATCAAGAAAATTTATAGCTATTAAATGTAGATTATTGCATAGTCTAAAATCAATTATCCCATTTTTTAACACAAAATATTTTATTGATAGTTATCATATTTTCAAATTATCAATTTTTTGTTATAAATCAAGTAACATTTTGTAAAAGATAAATTGTAATTTGATTGAATCAATCACGGTTAAAGTTTTGAGATAAGAAAAAAATTGTGTTTTATTGTAGAATGTGCATTATATTAGTGACTTAATATAACATGTAATTTTGTGGGTAATGACCCACCCGCCAGCCACTCAAATTTAGTGGGTGACGAAAAAGATAACCCATAGCCACCCACCACATCGACCCAGACATGTAATGGGTGGGTTATATTCGGATGGATTCAGATGGATATAACGGTTGACCCACTCATTGTCCACCCATGGATAGAGAGAAAAGTTACATACAAAGCAGTCCCAACTCATTACTAGGAAGGAAAACAACCTTGGGGGACACTTAAGAAAAAACAAATGGAATTATTAAGGAAAATATGGAAACGGCCGGCTAATCAGCAATTATTAAGGAGTCGACTTGCTTGAATATCGGTATGAAAGATCACAACAAAGAGAGAAAAGCATACACGAGAAAGAAAATACAGTGATAAAGATACCAAACTCCGACCCCAACAACGAGGATGAAGTCACCTCGATGAATCTCATTTAATTTGATAAAATTATGTTTACGAATTGCACAAGCATTGACATTCATAAGGTTTCTGCGAACAATCACAACCCACATGGCAGTCGCCATCTTGACTCCAACACAACCATGGATACCAGAACCGACATTCATAGTCGTTGCAAATATTATCGCAGTCGTCCAGTATCGGAATCTTACTGTTGTTGGATGCTTGAGGTATGACGACCGCATTTGTTCCTCTTTTGGGTAGCTGCAGGGAGTTCAAGTTTTGATGGTTGCTGCATGATTGATCGGATTGCATAAGATGTCCTATCATGACCATGATGGTAGATATACCAAAAATATATCACCGCGATAGATAGACTAAGACAAGGGCGCAGCTACATATGTATGCTCGCGAGCATAAGTGTAAAAAAAGAAACGATTTGGCCTAGTAGAGCGTACATTTTTCTCTAATCATTTATCATATTTTTAACATACTTTTATTTCAGTTACTAGTTATAATCCGATAAAATTTTCTCCAATAATTTTTAAAATAATTTAATTTTTTTGAGAAATCAGTTTGGTCACTCAAAATTTATATATACTTTAGTTAAGTTTCAAATTGAACATCTAAGTTTTTCAATTTATAAATTATCTCTTTAACGATAATTTTATTATACATAAATGATAATTTTCTTGTTCAAATACTTATATTGAACAACATGCTACGAATTTAACTAAAATGATTCATTTTTCTTTGTTATTATACTCATTTATATTGAATCGTAATAGATTGTATCTAGAGCCACTCTAATTATCTTTTTTTATGAATACCAATCTAATTATATGAAACAACATCTTGTACGGTTTGATAATTAACATATAGCTATCTAATTTTCTTTTAGTATCATACGATAATATTCTGAAAAAATTCGGCTCGTCGAACTCAAAAATTCTGGCTCAGCCCCCTGGACTATGCCATTACCGACAGAACAGACCATACCTCACGTTAGTCGGAGCATCATCGTCAGACTTCGGATAGATGATTCTCGATGCGCCTGAAGGCAAAACGCCTGCATCCAAACATTCAATACTGTTAATACTGTTGATCAATTAGAAATGACAGTACTAATCCACGGAAGAGCTTGAACAAATACATCTGATATTGTTACAACGGGAAGGAATCCATGGATGAAGTAACGACGACGAAGCAAGAAGTGAACATACAAGATTGAAGGGCGACCCATAGAATGAGCGGAAGCAAGACTGCCGCCAACTTAGCAAGACTGACGGCCTGCATCTTCATTATCTTCATCGCCATGGCTATTCAAAATGGCGGTTTTTCTGAGTTTCCTTTTGAAGTGATGACTGGATATATATATATATCGTGGAATATGCATGTTGACGAGCCTTGCTTCTTAATATCAGTATATATATAGTGGCAGATTATGAAGACGACTTCGATAGCTTCATTGCTTCCTCTTGTCTCTCATGGCTTCCTTATTTGCCTGCCGCCATTGCTCGGATTCCTCAAGGTAGTTAACATCGACGACACCTGCTTTTGTGCATTGTGGTTGCAGCGCGCGCGCGGAGGAGACGATGGAGTTTTTATCTTTGGTTCAATGGATTCATTCGTGCGCCTGCTTAATTGACTTATTCCTTAAAAATTGACAAGAATAATCTTCCATACATATACCTCATTACGCATAAAAAAAATTAACTTGATCATTACAAAAGTCTTCATGGTTTTATAAAATCACCTCAATGAGTCTATACGGCATGTTTGGAAGTTAGGATTCTCTAAATTGATGTATTTAATCAATGTATGTATTATAATTATATGCATTGTTTCAATGTATGAATTTGAAAAATACATTGTTTGGAGATTGAATGATTTTGGTGGTCCCTCAAAGAATAAGGAACAAAAAGTAAGACAACAATCCCTCAAACACAATCTCGGCTAAAAGTTGAGATTGACAATCATTCATAATGAATGATTCTGGTGGGCCCATCTACTGTTCAAATACAAGCATTCTATTTCATTTTAAGCCAAAAAAACGATGAATTCTTCTGATTACATGTATTGGCTAAATACATCATCTGAAATCCCAACTTCCAAACCAGCTCATATATATATATATATATATATGTTGCAAAAAATAATGAATTGAATTTGTCGGACAAAGTGGCTGAGCCCCTCAGGATGGGATCTCTTCTTACTCTTCTTCCCGGCCCAATATGAGCCCAGCCCATGTGGGCTCGGCTTGTTTCTAACAATACTAGTATACTTAAGTGGGTCTGATTCCCTTGGGCTAGTCCAGATACTCCCAACAAGTATGAATATCGAATTATATATTATGGAAAGATCGATATGTCATTTTTTATTTAGAAAGAAAAGATAGAGAGAAAAGTTGCATACAAATCAGTCCCAACTCATTGCTAGGAAGGAAAACAACCCAGGGGATGCTAATAACAGAAAAAGGAAAACCAATCGGAATCACCAAAAGGCATGCAAAGAAAACATGGAAAACGGCCGGCCAGTCACTGATTAAAAGGGGGAAAAACACCAACATCATCGGTATGAAAGAGCACAACAAAGAGGGGAAAACAGGGTGGCAGAGATACCAAGCTCCGGCCCCGACAACGATGATGAATCCCACCTCGAGGAATCTCATTTAATTTGATAAAATATATGTTTACGAATTGCACAAGCATTGACATTCAAAGGGACGTTGAGAACAATCGCAACCCACATGGCAGTCACCACCTTGACGCCAACACAACCATGGGAAATAGAAATGACATTGATGGTCGATGCATTTTTATTTTTGGTTTAATGGATTCATTCATTCTCCTGCTTAATTTGATTTATTCCTTAATAAAGTTGACGAGAATCTTCCATACATACCTCATTACCCATAAACAAAAAAAAACTTGATTAATTACAAAAGTCTTCATGGTTATATAAGGTCACCTCAACGTTGAAAAAAATAATGAGTTAGCTGGATCTTAAGGAATTAAGTTTGTGGGCCGAAGTGGCTGAGCCCCCGAGGATGGGATCTCTTCTTATTACCCTTCTTCCCGGCCCAATATGAGCCCACGTGGGCTCTGCTCATTCTTGCTTGTCTTTAACAATACTAGTATACTTAAGTGGGCCTGATTTCAATGGGCCTGGTCCAGATACCCCAACGAGAAGGAATATCGATTTTTTTATTATTATCCAGAAACCTCAGCCCCACGTGTCACTTTGTGACAGCGGGTCCTACTAAATTTGGAGGCCACCTGCAATCAAATTCGACGCCAACGGGTTTTCGCCTCCAGCAGCCTTGTACCTCCGGGAACACCAACGGGTCTCGCTTGAATTCGAACCTGGGATCTGCAACTCCCAACCCTTCACTGTCGCGCAAGCTTTACCATTAGGTTATCTTTCATTTGATATAGAAATATCGCATTATATTACGAAGATGGAAAGATCGATAGGTCATTTTGTATAGGAATAAAAGATAGAGAGAAAAGTTACATACAAATCAGTCCCAGCTCATTATTACTAGGAAGGAAAACAACCCAGGGGACGCTAAAAACAGAAAAGGAAAACCAACTGGAAT